AATAAACAAAAGGACATATTCCAAATTTATGTTAAACTAGGATAAAAAATTGAACTGCTATATTACATCATCCTAGAATAATCTCAGGGCAAACAAATAAATAATTATATAAAGCAAACTTACTCCTTCTTTTTCGTTATCCATTAATACCTTCTTCATAGCAACAAATTTTTTATTTGTTTTCTTATCCTTAGCCTTGAACACTTCTCTATAATGAAAGAACAGACATCTGATAAGTAAATTATCTCAATATACCAGCAAATTGATAAATAAATTCGATCAAAAACTGTTAGCAAAGTGGCATCACTTGTATCTACAATTAAGCTTGTGTTTCATTGACAAAATTTGTCATAATGTATAATGTAATCTAATTTCATCAAACGTATTTCTGTTTTACTTCTACCAATCCATATCAAAAAATATAACTCTGTTTGATTTTTTGCCATCATATTTTATTGACAAACTTTGTCATATTCCTATGTATATAAGTTAGATCTTGTCTTTCCACTAGGAAAATTTATAACATTTTAATTTGTTTTTGATAGATTAAGGCCATATTCCAATATACATTCCAATATACACTTCGATATAATACTCTGAAAATTTATAACATGAATTTATAATATGAATTCTAGATTTTCAATAATAGTATATACTGGAATACATAGCCTTGAATGTCTAGATATACATATATTGGAAAATGCAATAATTATGTTTACAAGTCAATAATAAAGCTACATGATTGTTGAAAGTGCTTGTACTAGTTTGCTGAAAACACAAAATCAAACAAATCGAATCACGACAAAGCTTACGAGAAAACATGTGTCAATTACGATTGCCTCCCGATTTATTCCTTTTCAGAACACTGATTGTAAATTTTCGATAAGTATAAATACAATACCGAATGCTCAATTAAATATTTTTTCGATTACAGATATTACGAAGACGTTCATTCAAATTAAAAACGCTTAAAAAATTTCTCGATACTTTAAATAACCTTAAATACTTTAAATTGTGTTTGAAATCATCGTGCCAAAAAATTTCACTTACCCAAAAGTTCCTTGACCAATTTTCGCAACTTTTTCGTACTTGGAAGATTCATCGCAATATGGAAAATCAAATTCCTCGATATACTTTTCTTTCTCCTTTGGATTCATTGTAATTGATTGCAATCACATATATATATACTATGGATTCAGGAATAGAAAAACACGCGAAGCATGGAGCAAGTAATAGCTAGAGACACTATAATCAGAAGAGACTGGTCACGAAAAGGTAACTTTTGATTGGTCCGCCATCTTTTGGCTATTCCCACTTATCTTAAATTAATTACATTAATCTTAAATTGTAATATTATAATTTAAAAACATAAGCGTTTTAAAAGTAATAAAATGTATATATTTATAAAACTTTATTTTACATAATTATATTATTACAATTTATTAATATATTTCTTTTAATTTTAACGCTTTTAAATTTATTTATTTATTTATTCATCTTTTTTATTTATTTTTTTTTCGTTATTTATCTTTTTCAACATAAGAGCAAAAATTAATATAATATACTATTATACTATACTGTTACACTATAATATTTTTAACTAACTTTTTGATACACAATTGTCAAAACGAAAAATCAATTTTACAGAGAATCGTTTTGACAATTATGTATCAAAAAGTTAAAAATATTATAGTGTAACAATGACAGCTATACAATGACAGTTATTCACAAGTTAGCAGCGAGAGAACCTATCGCGGAAAAGCGTCAACAATAAACTTCGAGAAAATTTCAAGAGATGCAAGTATCGATGTCATGCCTTTTTTTAGAAAGGACACATATTTATTACACATATTTATTATTATTGTAAACAAACTTTATTACAATATAAAGTAAAATTTAAGTGAAAAAATAAATCCACCCATTTTTTTATATTGATTTATCACAATTAATTAATTTATGACTATATTTTGCAATTTTAGTATCTCTATTATTTAAAAATATAATATAATATTTATCATGCTTTCCACGTGTTTAATACACATGCACAATACACTTAAATCAATGCACATGCAAAGTAAAAAATATCACTATTGGTTAGAGTGAGATGGTGTATATTTCTTTCTTTCTCGTACAATTTAGCCAAAACATGGCGAATCAGAGTCTCTGATTGGCGGATCAGAGTCGTGGTTTCTGATTATAGTGTCTCTAGAAATAAGTTTTGCAGAACTGGTGCGCACTTGCCGCGGATAACGTGTTTCACTGGACATTTCAGTGTGCACGAAAACGATGCATGTTGTTTCACTAGGAAGCCTAGTGCCGAGTTTTCGCATTTTAGTGCAAGAATTCGGCACGAGCTCCGAGAGACGGTGTCAGTCGAGTACAAGATGGCAGCGCGCGATTTTAACAATATTTCGAATGCTCCTTTAGCAATTGCTAGATTTATTTTCATTATCATCTAGCAGTGATGAAAATGAATTTTTTCTAAAAGAAAAACCACAAAAAGTTCCTAAAATAGAAAACTTTAACATGATTAACATGATACAACATAATTTTATAGATAAGGAATACGTAAGTCATGATTAATTATTATTTATTAAATTGTTGCTGCGCAGGTATTATATTATTGTATTGTATTGTATTATGTGAAACTATGGGTACAATCAAG